CGGAATCAAAAATTCTAGTATGCACGTTTGAATGGTTTTAATTAGTAACAGTCGCTTGTTGATTTTTGACTTCGCTGTGACAAATGAAATAAATAAACTTCTGAATGCACGAAATTAAGGCAAGCCGTACACGCTTTTTGTAATTTCAATTACTCGAGAGGAGCTGCGTTGTCTGCCGGTTTTTGCATTTCGTTTAAGCTGAGTTTTGTAATGCATTTTTATAAGCTGCTCGCGAAAAAGCATACGATTAAGTTTTTTCGTATGAGAGGCAAATGGCTTTATTTATCGCGTGCAAGAGATTATGTGATGTGTGTTTTATTTAAATGTGTACTACTCGCGTAAGTGTATTTAAAAATACTTGTTCTCAAACTGGTTGGTTGGCGAAACTGGCCGTTAGCCAAATACCAAAAATAAAAAAATTGCGTTTTTAAACAGTTAAAGAGTCTTATTTCAATGTGTACTACTTGCGTAAACTACAGACAATATATTTGTGTTTTACCATACAATAGAAGTTATAACCTAATTTTATCGTGTGAAAATATCGACCGTAAAATCCCCGTTCGTCCCCCTTCTAGCTTAAGCCATGGATAGTATATTGTTATCATCTGCACCTACGAAGCGTTAATTTAGTTAAAAGGGCACAAAAGGCTCACACCCTTCGCAGAATAACATTACACGACATAACATTTCGGGGTAACGGGCCCAGCGAATTACTTAGACCGAGTGCGTTGAGGTTATAGTATCCGTTTGTATGCGTTGATTAAGTTAAACAGTCAGCCTTCGAGGAATTTTCGTTACCATGAACTGTGGGAAGTGCTGATAGTTATTTTGAGATTAGCAAAAGATTTACAGAAGTAGCAAAAACTATGTCTTTGTTATGAGGGTATAGATAAAATATTATAAGTAATTAATTACAATGCTAGGATCCTACAAAATAATGAACTGATAGTTAAATACCTCTATACAAACCTTTAAGCTAAAAAATATTTATTTCGAAATAGCCATTTAGGTTACAAGTTACATTTTACCAATCACAATCCAAAGATAGCCACAAAGAATCAATAACAAGAACTTTCTAGAAGTGTCAATGTCAAACTTTGAAAAGCACGTTGATAATAACAGTATTTGAAAACTTTATTATTAAATTGAAAAAAAAATCGACTCGATTGGTAGAGCAACAGCAACGGAACGCTGACGATGCCGATTCAAGTCCATGCCCGAGTCGATTTTAACAATATATTTTCGATTTTTTAAAATAATAACAGTATTTTCAAATATGGAACCATGGAGCGTCACAATTCGAAATTCGATTCTAAAAATAGCGTGACAACCGGTCACGTGATTTTTCAACGTGATCTTTCGTTTTTGAAATTACAAAAGACCTCCTGTTTGAGGAAAAATATTTCGCCAGTAAACGGTTTATTTATGTAGTAAATCTAGTAGATAAATGCTAAAAAATACAGCGTAGAATAAGCTTTGACCTAGTTTTTGTGGCGCGCTGTCTTGATTGTTCGCTGGTGTGCGATGCCAGCTCGTGTATTTGAAATTAATTAAATTTCCCCTTTTTGTTATATCGTATTTTATGTGGGAATAATATTTATTGTATTCTTTGAAATAACCGATTTTTAATTCACTTTGTAATATTATTAAAGTTTAAACTGTTGTTGTTGAATATAGTTTTCAAATTTATTGATAAGACTGTTGGTTGTATGTTTTACACAAATTATGGCGGACCTTCTAAGTTTGCCAGCCAGCTATTTCATTAGCTAAGCTGGAATTGGAATAATTTGAACTGTAAAAAAAGAAAGACCAGCATGCATTCACTTGCTGAAAGATGATAATTTTCTTGCGTTAAATGCGCTGTCGATCCTCTAAATACAATTTTCAAATAAGTACGCTGATATGCAGACGCTCAAGTTTAAATATCTAGTAAACTATCGTGAATCCCGAAAAATATTCATTGTGAAAATGAAAATTTCGTAGTTTGCATACAATTATTAAAAAACCTAATTGATTTATACCTTCTGTAAATCATCCGTTACGTCCGATTTAAGTTTAATATAAATAACTAATATTTTTTTTTATTAAATTAAAGTACTAAAAGACCTCGCTGTCATTCAGTCTTGTGATATAACATTTGACCTAGCGTTGATTAGCGTAGGTGTTGAGTGAAATTGTCTTCAGCTATCTGTTCAAGTAAGCACTTCTAGATTGTCAAAGCGAGGCCGTTTATTTTTGTATACGTTTCTCTAGAGTCTAGGGTTTTAAAATTAAAATCGCGAAACTTAGAATGCAGATATGGATATGACAGTCTGAAATACTCTAAAGGAGTTTTTATTGAAATATTCACTTACTCGGTAAATAAATAGCATATGTGTATATAAAACACAAGTACTACGTACAAGCGTTAGTTATCTTAATTTAGTTGCGCATGTGTGTTAAAATATATTTAAATAAATCTTTATCCTACCTGCAGCGCCATCTGCATAATTGAATGTGTAAACTTTCTACTTGTACATAGAGTACATGATAGCTTAAAATGAAAATATATTGTAAAGGTTTTATCTTCAACCAAACAGGATGAAGGAAAGTTATAACAAAGCTACCCATATATAACTACTAAAATAATAACATTTTAGATACCGTTGTTTGTCTCTTAAAATGCGTTGTTTAATGTGAGCTGTAGCTTGGTTTAATATCAAGTACTGATTTTTTTCACAATGTATTTAAAAAGGCACTGCCTTTCATAAACAAACAATTATAAAAACACTCGTTTCGTTAAAGCGTTTCGTAAACACAACAATGAATAATATCTTTTTTCCTTTGTTGAACGAAATATTTCAATATTTAAACTATAGAGTTTAGAGTAGCAAAGTAGGCTGCAATTAACTAGACCTTAAGCTGTAAACAAACAGAACAAGCTGCGCTGTTTGAATTTGGAATGCATTTCGAGCATAATTTACACGAACAAAGAAATATTTGTGACGTAACGAACAGTGGAGCGGCCTCAGCGTGTGTCGTTTTTAACTAGTGTTGTTCTAATTATATCGATAAGTACGTGTAAAATATTTTAAATTTCCTAACCTTTTAATCGCCTTTAATCGAAGGTGGTAGCAGACAATAGTGTCGCATTGGGTTTAAAAGATTTTTTTGTTTGTTAGTTCATTTATATCTTATGTTTATCAGTTGTAGATCTTCTTCACTGTTTGACTGTTACTCTTGTATTCTTCTCTACCTATAAAGGCAAATTGTGCTAGAAAAAAGCCAGGAAGAACTTGCGCAAATTAAGAACACGTTACCTCAGGATAAACTTATTATAACTATAACTTATTTCCTTGTATATTATTTGTATATTCTACAGCAAAGTGTTTATAAAATATTTTTGTTTCTCAATTCAGAATCAAATTAATTATAAAGTAGGTTCTAATACTATATTCATTTCTTCACCCTTTGTTACAAACGCCTAAACATGCAACCTAAATATATCCCTAACGGATACAAAAAAAACTAATCTAGATATAATCCCATTTCACAAGTCATTAACTGAAAACGAAATACATATCGATAAAAATAACCCCAACACGTAAAAGCGAGTATAGGCCGGGCGAGGGGTGTTTTTAAGTCGCCTCCTCCGAACGCGAGCCAAAAATCTTTATAAATGCAAAAGAGAGAGCTCTATTTGTTAGGGCAAGTGTCGGAGAGGGACGGCGGATATGCATCGGGTTAGTTGCGGCTACAAGTAGATATAGCACGTTCTTGCCTCAGACACTGCGGTTAAGGGTAAGTTGGCGAATTGGAGTGGAGTTGGAAAAACAAATAGCTAAGTATTTCATTTGAATATAACTTCTCGTCTTTTAAGATAAATAGGTGGCTGTAAGCGTTGAAATCCGAGGTAAACTGTGGTACGAGGATTTTACACGTTCACTACGAATGTATTGACATAGTGTTGACGATGTCGATGGTAAAAATATTACTCTTGAAAACTTTAATATTTTCAACCTTTACACTTGCGTATATTCTTTTGTTAAAACGCTGTTTATGTTGTTGTCGATACACTTAGGTACCGTGACACAATAGCTCAGTTTGAGTTACAGAAAGCTATCACGTACAATCATTTGAAAATAAGAAAGCTATTCCATGCCATGAAACGATAATTAAAAATTATTTTCTGGCTTAGTAACTGGAACCTTATACAATAGAATGCTAGATAACGCGTTTAATAAATTATAAACTATACTATATTTCCATTGACATGGTGTAACAATTACATCGTAATATTATAATATCTTTGGAAGTGAAAGATATCTTGAAATCTATCGTAAAAAAAAAAAAAAGTAGCGTAATAATAGAGCGTGACAAAGATTCTAGACATTAATTGTTTAGATTTTGAATGAAAAAACAAAAGAGCACATTTGAAAAGAAGTAATTAAAGAACGGTGATTTTATTAATCCGTTTCAAAGTGAACTGGTGCAGATATTCCTGGATGAAATAGGAAAACAAAAAGTATCGAATGAGATTTATAATTTCAATACGAGCAAGCACAAAGATTGCTTCCGACACTTATAAATATACTCTTTGTTCATTTGCGAAATGATATTAAATGGGATTTATTGAATACTGTATTGTACAGGTTACATAGGGAAACATTAAGAAATGTAATAATACAATTAAAATGCTTTTTGTAGGTGGCTTTGGTTGGACTGATTAGATAGTCTCTCTGTACAGTTAACAAAATTATCTAAAACTAATTTTAAATTGAAATAAATTATATTCAGACAAATGTAAGTAAAGATTGTTTGATCGACTACTTGTAAATAAAATAGATTAGTGAAACAGACACAGAAGTGTGTTCGTCTGATGTCCGATTGACAAAACTTGAATTTCGCTTTTGCTGTAGCTTAATCTTCTTCTTAAATTTTCCATCAAGATCCTGGACGCTTCTTCCTCTATCTTTGATAGGAAACATTAGCTCTACAATAATACAGTTTTAAATTCTTACCTTCCACCAACGAGTAGGTAGTTCCCATCTCGCAATAATAACCTGAAGTAGTCTGTATGGGTTTCATTGCCGAGGAATTTGTGTGTGTCGTCTATCCCTGTAACAAAGGAATATTCATTATAAGACAAAAAGTAGTTTTTGTTTTATATGGTTTATAATACAAATCGTTAGACTAAAGACATTATATGTCAATACAAAAGGTCTAAATTAAATTATGCGAAAAATTCATTTATATGGGAATCCAAAAAATTCAGTGTTGTACATGGTAGCTCAATTGGCAACAAAGGAACTTCGTGGCTTAAATACAAGCACAAGCGTAAAAGCCAAAGTCAAAAACCATTTAGTGATGTCGGTAACTAGGTACCTACACTTCTGATCGTCACAAAACTAAAGAATCTAACTTTACATTTATTACCAGTTCTCAAATCTCAAATCAATTTGCACTCCCATTACTGACTTGGTAGCTATGTTAAGTTATTATCAGAAGTAGATAGGATATATCTACTTCCGATAAAAACTTGACATAGGTATATTTTGTGTATATAATATGTAGTTGTAAGTTTGGTATGTACTGCGGAAATGAACCCAGCGGTATATTTTCTTTTTGACGTGTCTCTTCTCCACCAGTAACATATTACGGCAACATCGTGGCAGACAATATCACCGTACAACCTACGTTATTAGTTACTAGCGTTATTTGATGTTTCTGCATATCCCTTGTAGTTGTTGAACAAATCCGCTGAATTAGTTGATAATGAGATATGAATGGTTAGATTGCTTGAATAAAACTAGTAGAGAAAATACGTTAGAAAAGATAACGGCTGCTAATGCTAACGACACAAATAACAATTTGGCAACGAACATATTTGTCGCAATAATAGAGGGTATTTTGGTAAATGTAATAATGACGTCGGCGCCAATTAACGAACATAATACATAGTCTAATTAGTCCAACCTCAGGCCCGTGTAACCTCGTTGAGTGAATATACGAATTAAATCCGATAATAAATGATAATAATTGGGTATTAGTACTTAGTAATTGACCAATTGTTGAAGAGATTGCAATAATGATTGAGCTATGTGATTAGTTTCATAGATATTGAAGTTCTAGTTTTCGCGCCATAAAAGAAACGCCATTTTGTTTATTTTTAATGATGGAGGTGGTCAGACAAGCGTGGAGTTCATTTGATGGTAGGTGATATACCAACATTCAGACGAAGACCAACATGTTGCAGAAAAAAATATAAATTGAAAAACAAAACAAAACATTGATACACCATTCTTTATTTCAATCTGAAATTTTAAAGAATGCAGATAAATAATCTGTGATTTTTTTTCGGTAATGTAAAGCCAAATAATCAAAGGGGGTGGGTTCGATCCCCATCATGTCCAAGTTTCTTCTAATCGATATATATTTTTGACACATGTTGGACTTTGAATAATAAATAGGTGATAGGAAAATCGAAATTCCGTCCTGGTTACGACCCACCGACCACAAATGATAAAGCCGGGAAGTTTTAGTCTGTGGATTTCCGAACATCCAAGGCCAAAATAGGTCGACAGCGCATTTTGTTAAGAAAAAACATTTAAACCACGAGCATTCTCCACCAAACCGTGATGATAACAGAGATCTAAAGTAATGTCTTCTGCAACATTCCAGTGTCTTCGAGCATAAGACTTTACGGAACTAGGTCAAGGCAGCTATATCCGGTAGTTCTGTGGCTTCTGGATATCGGTAAACTATCGGCCGTTTTATGGTATCGTAGATTGCTTCGTCAGATTCCTCAGTGATTAAGATCCTATACAGCCGTTGGATATAATTGTATTGTGGTTTTTCTTTCTCTATTCTCTGTAGTTTACGCGAGTAGTACACAATTAAATAAAACCGTTTTGACGGTTTAAAAGCAGGCGTGTGCTGCGGCTGCTGCAAAGCATCCAAGTCTTCGAGTAAAATTTACTTTTTTCAACCGTTAAAACGTGTCTTATTTATCTGTTATTTTAACATTATAAGTGAAGTTCAACTTGGTAGCTAAATTAGTTAGAGCAGCACGGACAGCTGAGGATGCCAGTTCAAGTCCTGCCCGAGTCGTAATTTTTTTCTCACTTCATATTCGATTTTTAATTTAAAGCTTTTTAAACATTTCTGTTTCTTGAAAAAAAGTTACATTTGTGTGTCTGTAATGTGAAATGGTTATTATTAATGAACGGTTAGATTTACCTTTTTCAAAGAGCATTTTGGATAGAGGAGAACAGACGAGCATTTCAAAGGTGAAATAACCTAAAATACCAACTCAACATTAGATATTTATTATATTATAAAACTTAGATTCTCTCAAAAGGCGTATTATTGTCTGAACGATTTCTTTAATGACAAGACCGCCTGGCAGTAATATGAATTGCTCCTGTTAATAAATTTACAAAAATGTATTAGTTTTAGGACATACTAGCTGACCCGGCGAACGTTGTTTTGCCATATAAATAATTTCAGGAGAGGAAATACGATTGTATGTATTTTTGTATGTTGTATCATAAAAAAATAGAAATTAAAAAATTTAAAGAGAGAATAAAGTATATTTTATTTCAACATAATGCAATGTCCATCTATTTTGGCTTTTGATATTCAGTAAGAAGAGTTCTTACACATATATTATTACAGAGATAATTTTTAGAGGATTTCGTAATACAACACTTATGGGTTAAGCTGCATTATTGTTTTTTTTTTTGACGAGGGCAATGGTCACTAATCTGTATATACCCTCGTAGTGAGGGTAGTCACAGATAAAATATGAGCGGCAAAATAAAGTGGTGGCACGGAATTGACCTCAGAGGAGACATTAAAAAATCTAATTAAAGTGAATTCATTAGGGGCACAGCTGGCTTCGAGGTACGGCTTTGTGGGTTAATTCTTGTTCTCATTAGTTTATCAATTCTTTCTTGAAGCGCCCTGCTTTCCATACTAGAAACGTTAACAATCATATTTTATATAGCATATCATTGTCTTTTGGGCTGTTTGGCCGATGTGAGCGAGAAGAGGTTCTCGACGTTTCGCCATCACGTGTGGACGGCATCATCAGGAGATGTTGACTCCTCGATTGCTCGAAGAATTAAATTAATTCTTGGTCGCGATGGCGAAACGCTGAGAACCTCTTCTCGCTCACATCGGCCGAACAGCCCGAAAGACAATGATATGCTGAACGATGGCCGTGAAAGCCTTACACAATTTATATTATTTACAGCTGAGTCAGCGACTTCGTCCGCTTGGCATTATTTTGGGTATCAACATTTGTTGGACACCTCCTGTTGAGCTCTATTTTAAGCTGTCCAGACTTGTAAGTTATCTTGATAGCATATTATACTATAGCAGAGCTTTTTTTATATCATTTAAAGATGAATCATTATTTCCTACATATTTTTTAGGTATCTTGAACCGTTTTTGCAGCGTACGCCTCGGAAACCCAAAACGATGAATAATTTTCCCAATTTTTTTCACATTTCTCGCTGTATCTTCGCCTGTATTAGTTACAGGGTGATGTTTATTAGCTCCTCAATAAATGCTCTAACCAACACAACAAATATTTTTCAATTCGAACCTGTAGTTCCTAAAATTAGCGCGTTCAAACAAACAAACTCTTCAGCTTTATATATTATTATAAATTAAACTAAACCCCGAAGTTTCGGATGCAGTAGCCGTGGTAACCGTTTAAGCCATATATAAGGTATTTTAAACCGTTAAAGATGTTTTATTTTAGTATTAATTGTGTAAAATTTTACCGACGCTTGCGTAAAAAGCTTTTTAAAACCGCTATCTTCATTTTTCCAACAGCAAGCATTTTTTTACAAGCGTGTGGAAAACGAGTGTTTTCCTTTGGGATGTACTGAGTTAGTAGGTCACCTACAAAGGCTAAGTTAATTTCCGTACATCAGTCAGACTCTACTTGGTAATTCTGTTGGGCTCTGGTCTCTCATAAACAGCGTCGAGTAATATTATCAAAAAATGTATTGTTAGAACCTGCAGAGTTTAATGGTTCAACGCATTATTTATGATTGCGTAAGTAAAAGATTGATTCAAATTTTGGGAAAATATTACTTTCGGTTGGGCATTAGCATTTACGGTTGGTCCAGAAATTAGAAACTAGTTCTGACTAATAAATTGCTTGGAAGTCAAAATGGAAACAGACACAGTCTGTGTCTGTTATAAAGGAGAAACGACTTTAACAAATTAACGTTGGTTCGCGTATTATTTGGAAACAATTCATGAAATCTTTTGTGGTTAACAACTAACGGGTCGTAGATTCGATAACCACCGGGTCCAATATTACTGTAATCAATTTATGATTTTTCTGAAATATATCGAAAAACTGAATAATAAAAGAGTAATGGAAATTTCGCAATTTTACCCGGGTCACGTGCACACAACCATATAACGTGATACACAGATGAAAAAGCCGTGTTTCAGTCTGTGGTTTTCTGAATATCCAAAGCCAAAGTAATTCACACAGCGCATTTTACTTAGATGTTATATAACAGGGGTAAAGCTACCATCAACGTATCAGGCGACGTTAACACGTTACCGTATTATAGGAGACCCTAGCCTTAGAAGAGGTTAATTCTACTTGCCTTAGAAAAATGTACAGCTTCGCGTGAGATGCATCATTAATACTTTGGTATCACCTGTTGCTGAAGTTTTAAAGTGTTACCTGAATATAAATTATGAGGAAAATGGGAGTTTTTTTTTTGTATGGAAAACTCGTCGGAGTTCAGTGAATTTTATGTGTATGGGGAAAGTTTTTTTGCGAAGGCGATGCTCATTTGAATTTGGAATTGTACTTTCTGGTGGAAAAGTGTATAATTTTATATGCGTCGGAGTGTAACGTGACATGCAACCTTATTATGTACACAGCAAATTTATGAAATATGTTATAAGATTTAAATAGAACACTTTAACGGTTTAAAATGCGAAAAGAGTTATTTTAAGTACGCCCCGAAGTTTTGAATGCTTTGCAGTAGTCGTGGGGAGACTGTAACTTTTCTGTACATAAATTAATGTAGTAGGCACTTCGCGATTTAAACCGTTAAAAAGGATTTATTTAAACGAGTACTACTCACATAATATGTTGATACGTGTATGTTTGCACAATTTGTTTTTTTTTGCTTTTGTCGTTACTTTTAGATATTTTTAATTTTACCAAGGGTAACATTTTTACTATCGAGGTATGGAACATTACGTTTCGGAAATAAACACCAGGGGTGTGCCTTAGTAACGTCGGGTTGAAATTAAAATAGTTTTCAAATAAGTTTAACCTAATAAATTTTGCGATTAAAACCGTTACACTGTTATATTTAAACTAATAAACATGTAAAAAGAACACAGTATCAATAAACAGGGTCCAATGCAAAAAGTTAAGATGCAGCATCTTGTAAGAATCACGAGCGAGCGCGGAGAATATTAATCTTCATTACAGAGGACTAGAAGTACTCGACAGAACAAATAGTCGTGCTTCTGCCAGCCCTAATTGTGCTTGTATGTGATTCAGAGCGATTTAACCTAACTGCAACATCTTTAGATTAGTATTAATTAATAGTGCTCGCGTTAATACTAACGGTCTCTTGTAGTTTCGCCGTGGTACAGTGTACATTTAGGGCTTCAATTGATGGTAGGTGATACACCCCATATAGCATCTAAAGAAGATGCGTTATCGACCTATCTTGGCTTTAGATATTCGGAAATGCACAGACTGTAACCGAAACTCGATTGAACTTAACGGCTTCTTCATCTGTAGACTGTGTTTCGTGACCCGGACGAAATTTCTATTTTCCTACCACCCATCTAAAATCCAGTTTTCCAGACAAAGTCCAATATGTTTCAGAAAAATTAGAAGCATGGTGGACTCGTGCCGGTGATTATCAGCCATACATTGCAACCGTCGAGCCCGTCCGGTTCGTTACTAAATCCGATGTCCATATGATAATATTTAATATTAGATGTATATATATACTTTTCATTTCCACCTTCATAAATCGCAAATAGCGTAGATTTCAAATTGAAAGGAGAAAATTGGCGAAGTCACGTACACAATCAGTTAAAGCTTAACAATAGTAAAATTCCGGTGACGAAGCAATTTTTTCCTTACATTGTGTAGAGATAAGATACGGGGGTCGTTGAACCGTGAATGGGTGTGACCATTAGAGCTAACGAGCTGGGTAACGGGGACAAAATCTCATGACAATGCCCATATGATCTTGGGGCACCCGTTCACAGGGTGACATAAATTGAAAAGACAAAATTTTTATCAGCTTTTTTTATTTCCACCCTTATATTAGAAGATCCTTATCTAAGCATGGTGTTATCTTGATGCTACGTGAAATACATCAGCCACACATCTTAACATGACGCTCTGTCTACCTATTTTAGCTATGGATATTCGGAAATCCACAGATTAAAACCCAAACGTAATTATACTCCACAGCCATCTGTAGACGATGTTGCAGTATAGAGGACTATAATATAAAAAAAGAACCAATCCATTTCAATAAAACACTGTAAACTTAAAATACTGTCTATAGTTTACGCGAGTAGTACACATTTAAATAAAACACTTTAACGGTTTAAAACGCGATACTTAACTAATAAACTTATTTGAAAATGATTTTTAACTTCGGCACGACGTTTCGGATGCTTTGCAGCAGCCGTGGCCACGGGGAGACCCGTCAAGTTCAACAAGAATATAACGCTTTTTAATTCATTTAAGTGTTTAAATAAAACACTTTAACGGTTTAAAACGCGATATATTAGTTATACTTATTTGGAAATGAAGTTTAACTTCGGCACGACCTTTCGGATGCTTTGCATTAGCCGTGGTCACGGGGAGACCCGTCAGGTTTAACTAGAATATAACGCGTTTTAAACCGTTTAAGTGTTTTTTATTCAAATGTGTACTACTCGCATAAACTACAGACAGTATTCAATCCGCTTTAGTTGCAATCTATGGATTTCTGAGTGACTAAAGTCAAAATAGGTATTTCACTTTACATCAAGTGAAGGTGCTTTATGACAAAAAATAACTGTTTTAAATGGCATATTATCTAAATAACTTATGATGTATTTGAAGCTTTTTCTTATTATCTATATACATAGATTATACTTTGTTTTGCTTTAAATTAAAACGCTTTTAAGCGTTCAATAAATAAATTATTGTTAGTATTTAATCAATGAATTTATTTATTGACTTAACATATTTAATAACAGTTATAATAGTTGTAA